AGCACCGAGCACAGGCGCCTGCTCTGAGCTCGCTGCCCGTTAGCCGGCGTTCCCAGGCGGTACCCCGAGAACGCCTGGCAGCAGCTGGGCCAGGCCATTTGGTGGTTGGCATGACCCGTAGAAGAAAGGTTCAGGGCAGGGTCGTGGGCGTGAGGTCTTCTGGGGCCGCCCAGGCGCCTGAGCCAGGAGTTGTACTGACAGTCCCCCATTACGCAGCTTCCTTAGCTGGAGGTCGCTGTGGTCATGGCCCCTGGCCCTGAGGGCGCCGGCGCGGCCCCATCAGCATAACGTCTCGTCATGAGGTCCAAGATGGACCACTCGACGTGAGCTCGTCTGTGAGTGGCCTGAGGTGACCTCTCAAGCCCCCACAAAATCCACTTGACCCAGAAACCCCCATAAACCATGCGGATCAAGAGGTTTAGCTTCCCCCAGCTGGTTGGAGACCGGTGCCCAGTAACCAGGTGCTGAGAATGGCGAGCCCGCAGCCTGGCCCCTGAGTGGCGGTAGGAGCAGAGCTGCCCTGGCCTGGCCCCTGCCCCTTAGACGTGGTGAGCAAGACAAGGACACATCTAAGGCCTGAAACCGCTGGGTCCCAAGGTTTGCCTGTCCCAGCAGCTGCGGTCGCCTGAGTCACACAGACGCTCCTCCTCTGCCTGCCCAGGGCCCTTTTGGGTGGATTGTTGGTTGGTTGGTTGTTTTTAGGGTTTTCGCCGGGTTGACCGTCAGAGGCTGTCTCTGCCCCAGCACTCAGGTCGCCGGGCCAGCTGGGCTGTTGGTCTGGTCCGTCGGTGGCGAGGGTCCATCACGGTGGACTCCGTGTGGGGCCCTCAGGGATAGTTATACATTGTTCAGGGGGCACAGGCCAGTGCCAACACAGCAACAAAACAAAACATGCCCGTTCGCCAGCACTTGGCAGTGTGCGCGCCTCCCAGCCATGGTGAGGTGACGTCGCCCAGGCCACGCGGAACCGAACACAGAGCCGCTGTCAGCTGGGGAAGGGCGTTCTCTCGCTCGCAGAGCCCCGCGTTGCAGTCGAGCACGTTTGCGGGCCGAGAATGAACACTCCTGAAGTTCATGGTGCGGAGTCCATACCAAGGCTGCCTATTAGGAAAAGTTATTTGGGGGCAGATGATACTTGATAGTATGTATGCTGTGAGCTCTGAGGGGAAGAGGGGAAGAAGGTGATAAGAATATACAGTTTTTTAAATAAATAGCTGGTTGGGCACGTTGGACATCGCCGACAAAACCTCTCCGAGCAGGAGGCTGCAGTTACTGTAGAACCGCTTCACAGTGACCTGAGCACCGAAGTCCTAAACCTGGACACTGTGGGTTGAAATACTGCTCCACTACCCTGTTGTCTGTTGGCTTTGATCTCTCTGTGCCTTAGTTTCCTTGTTGGAAAATGAAGGAAAAAATAGTCCCTGTTACTGGGAGGAATAACGGGATAATCTGTGTAAAACGCAGCAGAGTTCCTGCTAGAGCTGCAGCAATGTTATTAGTGAAAAACACTTAACGTTCACCATCATTATTTCCAATGGTTCTCGGTCATTCAAATGCCAGTGTGTCCCCACACAGCTAGGGTCCTGGCAGCAGGTGGCATGAAACACCTCTGCTTCCGTGGGCGTCCAAGAGACTCCTGGGAGACCCCGCGACAGTGAGGCAGGGCTGAGAAGTCCAGTTTCTGCGGCCTCTGTGGCCTCGGAGAGTCACTCATTGACTTGCCACTCAAACTTACTTATGAAGCACCTGTCACAAGCGTTGGTAGTGGATGGGCACTCACAGGTGTCAGCAGCTTTGTGCCAGGAGCCAAGGAAGAGTTAGCACATATTGTAAGGAGAGTCTATTGGCGCCTTTGCTACTGTGATGAGTGAGTGTGTGTGTGTGTGTGTGTGTGTGTGTGTGTGTCGGGGTCGGGGTGGGGGGGCGCGCAGGGGCGGACGACATCTTTTTATTATTGTTTTATCCACCAACTTAGTTATCTCACACGAAAGGGCTTAAGGAATTGTAGCTCTGCCCTAGCTGCTTTGGCTCAGTGGATAGAGCACTGGCCTGTGGACTGAGGGGTCCCAGGTTCGATTCCTGTCAAGGGCATGTACCTTGGTTGCAGACTCCCAGCCCTGGTCAGGGGCATGTGGAAGGCAACCAATCTGTGTCTCTCTCACATCGGTGTTTCTCTCTGTCTCTCCCCCTCCCTTCCACTCTCTCTAAAAATCAAAGGAAAAAATATCCTCGATTGAGGATTTATTTTTAAAAAATTATAGCTCTGGTGTAAACACATTTACCCAGGCCACTGACTAAACTTGCATACTTACTTCATCAAAGAATAGTCATCGACTACTTTTCCCAGTTCTCTCATAAAAAGTAAAGTTGATGATCTATTTCACCCCCAGATCTTAGAACAGTGGTTCTCAACCTTCCTAATGCCACGACCCTTGCATACAGTTCCTCATGTTGTGGTGACCCCCAACCATAAAATTATTTTCACTGCTACTTCATAACTGTAATTTTGCTGGTGTTATGAATCATCATGCAAATATCTGATTTGCAGGATGTATTTTCATTGTTACAAATTGAACATAATTAAATCATAGTGATTAAAATCACAAAAAATATGTAATTATATGTGTGTTTTCCAATGGTCTTAGGTGACCCCTCTGACCCCCAAAGGGGGAGTCGCGACCCACAGGTTGAGAACCACTGTCTTAGAGGATAGTCGTTTCAGGTAGCACAATGGTCCAGACTTCCTTGCTTGTCTTACAAATAGGAAGATGGGGGAGGGTTTTTAGATTCCTGGATGGCTTTTGCATTCTTGTAAAATCAGAGGACCAGACAGAACTGGAGTAAAAACATGGGCAAGAGTTTCCGATGATTAACATGATCACGAGGAGGTTTAACAGCAAGAGCCACACGTCTACCGATGTCCTTTGTGTATGAGGGGACGTTACCAGCCAGGCCCCTCTGCGGATTGTCCCGTGTGGCGAGTTTCTTTTCAAGGGGAGGATGGATTCTCCCACTTCCATGACAGTGTGAAACGGGCTATTCTGAGAAGCCACGCTCCACGTCTGCCTCGGACAGTGTTGGAGCAGGCAGGCCGCGCGGCTTTCATTCTGCTGCTAGTGGAGCCTCTTACTGTGGCTTCCCCGTCTTCCCTTCAGTTAATGCCCTGAGCTGCTTTCCAGGACACAGTGCCCATTATCTATCCGCCTCCGAGAGCAATAAGGAAGCCCGAGCAGCCCAACCACAGACGCCTTTCCCATCTGCCAGTGAGTGCCAGCCGGCAGCCCTAAGAATAGCTTCAGAGCATGCCGCCCGGAGCCATCCCTGGGCCTTGTGATCTCAGAAGACTCAAAGTTTGGGGAAAACCCTTAGAATTAAAACAGAAAGATGGAGACTCTGTTATTGGGAGATTCTGTATGTGCCCAGGCCTTCCCACGTAAGAGAATAGCTGCTAAACTTATATTTGATCTAAAGTATAGCAACAACGTATTCGTTACTTCCGGGTCACAGAACTGCGTGGGCCCATCTTTCTCAGGTGTAAACCCTGCGATTGGTTGCTCAGACATGGACACGATGGCGGCACCATCCCAGTTTCTGTGCAGCCATTTGGTGAGGTTTCAGGTCTTTAATGATTCATCTTTAAGAAATGATTTCCAAAACCTATGTTGGATGTTCCTGTTGAATCTCAATGAATTTTGAATAAATTCATTTTAGTTCTTGGCATGTTTTTTCCTTAGTGTTGTTAATGAAAAAAAAATATGTATCTGAAAAAAAAATGGCGTTGACAGCATCTTTAATGATATCTATATATATAAAAGCCCAGCAAACAGAATGCCGGAATGACTGGTCGCTATGTCATGCACTGCGGCTGGCCAACCAGCCCAATCAAGGGGCGGCCCCGCCCCCTGGCCGGCCCCCACCACTATGACTGGGGGTGGGGCCGACCGGCCAACCTCCCGCGGCCCCTCCCACCTGCCAGCCCTACCTCGATCGGCCCCCCTTGGGGCAGGCCAGCCGGACCCTACCCATGTACAAATTCATGCACCAGGCCTCTGGTATTTAATAATACCACTGTGCCAACTTTTATAGTTAAGATTCCAGGCAGGCACTGCTCGGTTCTGAGAGAGCCCGCATGACCTAGGATACTGAAATTGTTCCGCCAGTAAAGCAAAGCAAATATTTTATTTGACTTCTGTGGAAATTAAATAAGTGTGCATACGGCCTCTAGTCAGCTAGCCCACATTTCTAGTTAAAAAATAACCTCGTTGAAATGACTCCTGAAACACAGGTAAGCCCAAGAGGAGCTAGTGTGCTGTGTTCCTGTTAACTGTGGGGCATGTGATCTAAGGTGACCAGGAAGAGTGGTGTTTATTCCATATGGATCGAGGGAGTAGGATCATCCTGGGAAGGGACTGTACACCGGCCACTGTGAACGTCACCCCGCTGGCTGCTGGGTAAAGCTGGGTCCTTCTACTCTGAGCTTTGTTCTGGGACACAGCTACTTACTTGGAAACAGTGGGACCCTCAGGGTCTCGCTGCTAAAGATCAGTAGGTGGAGCCCTGTTAGACGAGGGCTGATTCTTTCATCACCCGTCACCCCAACTGTTCTGAGTACCCGGCAGTCCCAGGAATCGAGTTTTTCCGGTCTGGGCGGTGAGACCAGTCCTCTTCTTGGCCCTGCCTGGGGCTGAGCAAAGGCTCTCAGGCCTCTTTCCTGGCTTTGCCAAGGGCTGCACCTGCTTTGCTGATCAGTGCTCTCTCTCCTCCCAGTTCTCTCTCTCCTCTCAGTTTTCTCCTCCCCAGTCTTCTCTCTCCTCCCCGGTCCTTTCTCTACTCCCTGGTCCTCATTTGTGGACCTCCAGCCGCCTTGGGCCCCCAGACTGTCCACTCCACCTCTTCAACCCAGGGCTCCCCCTCTGCCTGACGCCCTCGGACTCTACCCAGGCAGTAAGCGGGGCTCCTCGTTTCCCTTCTCTCAGGCACTGTCCTGCTGCTGATGTCCAGTATCTTGGGAACGATTAATTCCCGTGTTTTGTCCAGGTCTTGGTTGTTTCAGGAAGGAGGGTCCATCCAGGAACAGACTACTGTCAGATGAAGTCTTACATTTCTGTTAATCCTTTAGTTCAGTTTTCCAAACATAGGTTAAGAGCTTCTGATGGTACTGCCTCCACGTGGGTTATTTCTCAGGGAGCGAGTCCATGACAGCCTCCCAGACCCGCACGATTCCTCATCCCTCCATTGTGAAGGCTGTCGTGTTATTACCTTCTTATTACATTGAAGCAGTGCTCTGCTCGAGATTCAAACCCACACAGTGTGCAGCTGCTCTACAGTAAAATAACGACCCCCCCGTTATCTCCAAAAACCCCCCCCCCGTTGTCCCCCCCCCCCCCAACAAATGGTGAAGATGTAATGAAACTGGTGAGGAGGCATTGTAAATGGCAAACAAATGGGAGTTATATGTGAAAAAGCATAAAACTTGTTACAGCCCTTTGTTAATTAACCCCACCCATAGAATGCCAGGCAGTGGACATAATCTAAGATCCATAAAAAGCTGTATCTCCAACAGCGGTAATCATGTTGCTAATTATAATGGAAAAAAAGTTGGAAATAATCTTAATGTCAGTGTAGGTGCCCGATACGCGAAATATATAAAGCGCTCCCACAACACAACAGCAAAAAAGCCCCAAACCCAAAAACAACCTGACCACCCAGTTTAAACAAGCGAACAGAGGGTCTGAGCAGTCATCTCTCCAGAGAAGATACACAGGTGGCCAGTAAACCAAAAGGAAAAGGGGGAAAAGTGCTCACAAGTCACTGGGAA